TTATTATTTTTTTCATAAATCAAATGTAATTAAAAATATCTGTTAAATATCGTTAATTGATTCACATTCGAGATTTATAATATATTTTCACAAGTGAATTTACAATTTCCTTCAAAAAATTGTAAGCATCTCATATGTATATGTTACCGGCAATGTCGGAAATCAGTCATTATCAGTAATGACTAATAAATATTAACAGTGGATAATTAAGTAAGGCAATACTGACAATGTCTAGGCAATATATAAAATGCCTAAATTTGATAGTCAATGTGGGTAATATTTAATTTATTTATTAAAATATAATTAAAATCAACAGAATCATGTATAATTATTATGGTTATTATTTATTTTCATAAGATAAACTACTATAGCACTTCGAATTACATAATATTTTAGCTGCACGACAAGCACATAAATTATTTTGACATTTTGTTTTACAATGACACCTTTGATATTCCTGACTCCCAGCAATACTGTTATGCCCGGCAGCCTCTCGGAAAGTAATTTCTTTTTCTTTCGCTGAATTTGTTGTCTCTTTCAAATCAAGAAAATTTTCGTTACATGGAATAGTTAGACATGGAAAACATGGAAATTATCCGTTGTCTATAGTACCTACTATAATGCCAACAAGAACCATGAATGAGACAGAGAGCTTAACTACAGTAAAACCAGGCCAATATTTTCATTTTGGTTTGGGTAATACAATTCAAAATTATTTTAAAATAAATTGCATGAGTAATATTGATATTATTAAAATTGTTATTGAAATTGATATTTTACCAATTGCAAAAAGTAATTCAAGCCAAGTATGGCCAATTTTAGGATAAATCCTCCCTAATCGCAACTCAGTGTTTTCAATAGCTACTGCAGCACAACTGAAAAACATTGACTAAACTTATCAGTCAATTACGGAAATATACACCGATTGCCCACAATGACTGGCGTGCATCAGCATTACTGACATTGCATAATCATTACCGTCATTGCCGGGATTACCGATAATGACGATAACATATACACATAAAAAAATAAATGAAAATCAATTTTACTTGTAAAATAATAAAACGTTAACTCGTACATGTGATTGTCATCAGGGACTGGAACCTTGATGTTTTTACCGATTCTGGTTCCGGTTTCGGTTCTTTGAAAATTAAGAAATTCGGTTCCGGTTCTTAAACAGTACAGAATGTCGGTTCCAATTCTTAGATATTTATAGATATTTAAGTTACATAAAAAAAATTTCAAGTAGAGAAAATTAAAAATTAATTTAAAACAATAATTTTGTCAGTTTAAAGTTGTAATTGACTTTACATACAATGGTTGTTTTTTTGAAATTTAATTGTAACCTTTTATGTGTTATATTACTCATTAATGAATTATTTAAGTCTTCAATTCGTATTTTTTTTTTTTTTTTTTTTTTTTTTTTTATTGTAACCCATCAACAAAACTTAAAGTGTCCAAAAATTAATTATTTAAATAATAAAAAAACAAAATTTTAACAAAATTGTTTTCACTTACTTTTATTGGGCATGAACATATTTTACAGGTTGATTGGTCTTTTATTTTATTGCCTATAGCTAAAATATTTATAAACTATTGAAGTTGATAGACGACCCAGTTTTTAAAAATAATAGATGTATTTATTATTAAAAATATTATAGACTTTCTTCAATTCTTCTTGCAGTCACTACACCAGTCACTAAATGTACACATAACAGACTTGATAGTCATAGTGCATAGATATGATCGGGATGTGTAGTAGTGGAATGTGAAGGGGTAACTTATCAAGTGGTGTCGTTTGTTGTTGTGCTAAAAATAAAATATTTTTTCCAATAAAATAGGAAATTGATAATCCATAGTCTATATTATACCATATGATATTATCTAATTCTTGTATGAATCTTGTATTATTGGGGTTATTATTATTATTATTAAGGCCTCAGCAGTCGACACACTGCGTATTTTCTCCATTCGTCAGAACCCGTTGTGTTTTTACGTTCATTTCGTATACGTACACTCTGATGTATAAAATACAAAAATTACAAGAAATATATTCATCAAATCTTTATATTTTTCCTAATAATGATAAAAACAAAAAGTTCATGTTTATTGTTAAAATATTAGATAAATGATTTTAGTTATATCTGCTGTAATTTTATAAAATCGAAAAACTCTGAAGAACCGAAAAGTACTAAAAATATTTTTAATTTTTCTAAATGGGTTCCGGTTCCGATTCCGGTTTTACGAAATAAAGAATATAGGTTCTAAAAAAGGTTCCGGTTCCTAAGTTTTCTTCAAGAACCGGTACCAGAACCGGTTCTTTCGGTTCCGGTTCCAATCCCTAATTGTCATACTACTTAGACCACTGAACTAATTCAAAAATTCACAAAAGACAATTATTTATACTTGTATTTTATAATTTTATTTATAATAATAAATAATATTGTATGGATTTAATTGACATCAAAATATATTGGAATCGTTTTTAAAATCGGTTGAAAACTAAAATGTTCTTAGTAAAATACAAAAATAAATAAGTTCAAACGTTTAAAATGTTGGGTTAGTAGTAATATTTTATCAATTCACCATTAAAATAAAAGAATAATAACTTCAGTAATACACCGAAAAATACTTTAAGTATCTTACCCTTTTAAATATTTTATCGTTTTTTTTTCTAGAAATATTTTAGTTTTATCAACAGTATATTTTATTTTGTGTAATTCATATATACCCAGGTATATATTTAAGGTTTACGTTAAATAATGTGTATTTAATGTTCTTTAATTACCTTTTTATAAACTTCCCTAAAAATGAAATGTGATAAATGATGTAAAAAACTACTTAAAAAGTTTATCACATCAGATGTAGCTGGTTCCACAGGGAATTATCAAAACTATTTACAGTCAAATACTAAGAATAATAATATTAATGATATAACATATAAATGTATTATCTGGAGGTAAAATTATATTATAATTTTGAATTTGAATGATTAGCAGCAATTGTAATCACTTAATCTTTAAATTTAAAATTGTATATTTTTAATTTATATTATAATTAACTGCCTAAAATTGCTTTTTATTTGATTTCAATTACATGTATCTACGAAGAATATCGAAATATTAAAAATATTAAAATTCATTAAAAATAATTCAAATATAAATAACACTGATTAATAAACCGTTTACATCCATTTTCCATATTAATTGTACTAAAAATATTTCATTTCTAAACTTCACTTAACTGCTCTGTTTAAACAATTATTTAGGTTTGCATGTATGACAACATATGAATGGTATTTGAATTGTCACCTCATGCCAAAATATCTCAAAGACATTGGAGTTAGATTAACCGACCACCACTATAAGTCTTTGAGTTGCCGATCTAGGAAACTTATTTCACACTTATTCCGCACTTCCGGTTAGTTAATTTCATGCTATTATGCCCGACATTATTTAAATATGGTCCCCAATTACTGAGTCATTACATTTTCACTCTATAACGTGACAACACTTACTAACCAAAACCATCATCCGTTAACATGATACATCTTCTGTATAAGTCCAGACCATTTTGTTTCGAATTAATTAAAACATATTGTTGATTTTGTGAAATGCGATCAACTACATAATACTGTAGTAATACTCTACATACAATACTTTTCAATCGCAGTGATTTCTGTAAACTTGAGCCTATAATTCCCAACTGTAACTCTAAGTCTGGACCAATATAATAATATATAAAAAATCACGAAGAAATACGCCGTGTAATCGTTGGTTTAGGTTCGTATTCTTTGCATTGACCTATATGCATGATTTTATTTTGAAACCAGAAAACATTGTTCGACCGTTTCAATACTTATATCTACGTTCATGATATTTGACAAATAATTGGTATGAAAGCAGTAAGATTTTTAGACATAAGATTTGGGCTAGCAACCAAGCTCACTAACAAAGTATTGTACCCAGAGGCTTATAGATATGTCGAATAGAAAAACTCAATGCATATCCAATGTTAATAATTGACTTTTGAAAACAATACTTAAATAAATAGCAATTAAAGCAAATCGTACAAGGCGCAATACATATGGTAATTATTATCATATAAAACCCCAAAAATTCATTGTGTATTTTCTGAGGTACAAATTACGAAACAGTACCGAGAACAATTTCTATTACTACGAGCATATTACAAGAGTCAACGGACTAATACCCTTCTACATAGCCAAATAATATATTTTATTTATTTATTTAAATATACTTTATGCCAAACGGCAATTAATATAGTTACATGTACAGTGGCAATCCCCTAATTAAGTAACAATAACAATTAAAATAACTATAGTATATAGAGAAGCATACAAGTGACATTGTAGAAACAAGAAGCCAGATAATTCAGCTAAAATGACTAAGGCAAATTTAGGTTACCAACTCGGAGCATCTTGCGTAATGGATGGTTTTAACCATAGACCGTTGAGTTGTAAAGGATATAAAATTATTAAACTAACCTAACCTTAATTATAAAGGTATCAAAGGCATTTTTTTCGGCTTTTCGAACAATTAGGGTTTTGAGAATTATTGCTTTAGTTGATTACAATCAATTTTAGTTTTCTATATAAGATCGTTCAAGAAAAAGCTGTATTCCTTGTATATTTGTATATTATATCATATAAAAAAAATATTCATTTTAATTTATTAAATAAGAAAAAAGTAGTATATAAATGCATTTTTTCATAATTATCATTTTCTTAATGTCTTTATTACTGATAAAATGTATTTAATTTTATGTAAATTATCTATTTAAATGTAACTCTTTGCTCCATCACTAGCTACGCTTTCAGGAGAAGAAAAAAAAAATTAATTTGAAAGATTTTACCGAACGATGTTATGCTTGGATTTTATATAGGCGTTTATGCGCACTGTTCGCGCGAGTACATAAAGTCATAAAACGTATACGTAAATTTGGCCGTGCCGAACGGCAATTAAGAAGGATTCGCTCACCTGGATAACATGGCGTGGTCGGCGGCCGCGGCGAGATGCGCGGTGACGTCGAAAGTCGCTGCGGCCGCGGCGGCTGCGGCCGCGGTGGCCGGCGACACGGCTGCAGCAACGTTCTTGTGATGATGTTTGCCGGCACCTGTGCCAGGCTTGTCCTTGCTGAGTATGCTCGAAATGGAGAACGACGTGTACGGCGGCGCGGCCGACTTGACGGCCGGCGATTCGCGGCCGCCTCCATTGGCCGTGGCCGTGGCGCCCGTGGCCGCGGTACCGCCGTTACCGGTGGCCAGGTGGCCGCGATCGTTGCAGCACTCGTCGTCGTCGTCGTTGCCGGTCACGTCGATGCGCGGCGACTCGGACATGGTGTGCGACAGCGGTGGTAATCGAACGCGTCGGCAAACGTCCGTGGTTCGCGAACGCGGTCCGTCGCAGACGCAAGGGACCCACGGGAAGAACTGTGGGATAACGGGTGCGGAGCCCAAAAAAAAAAATCCGCCGGAAAATGGTTTCGCAGACGTCAAACCGTGGATCCGGTGAGAAAGGGATCGGTTCCGTTGGTGTCGCGATCCGACCCGGTTGCGTGTGGACGATGTGTCGCTGGTGTTCACACCGCGGTCCCTGCGCGCGTTCAAATCGCTTCGCGTGCGTGCGTGCGTCCGACCGCCAGAACGGTGATAGTGATAATATTCGTGCGGACGTGGTGCGTACGTGAACGTGTGCGTGCGATGCGTACGACGACGGTGCGCGCGCGATTGTGCCGTCGTCGCTGAGCGTTCGGGGCGGTTGTACTAACCGACGACTAGACGACCATATACGGTTTGCGGTGTCGGAGCACTTAAACGTACCGCCGCCGTAATATTATTATTACTACTATTACTACCACCACTACCACTACTACCACCACTACTAATACTACTCCTTCCCTCTTTTTCGGTTTTTTCTTCCACCCTCTCCCTCACCGCGCTCGTTTGCCGCCCTGTAGCGCGCGCGGACATTTTAACCCTGCCGCCGCTGCCCCGCGCCCACCGACGCTCCGCCCAACCCCGGCGCGTCAGACACACCTACTCCATTGGTCCAAAAACGGATTTCATCCCCTACCGAACCGCCCCACTCATCACTACTGCCGCCGCCGCCGCCACGCGTGTACACCTATGCGCACGACGCGCCTCGTCCACCTTCGTCTACCCACCACCCCAGACGCCACTGCTGCAGTGTTACATCGACGGCGATCATCGGATTCCACTTGAACGCCGCCGCCTCCTTCCCGGTTTCGGTTTTACGCCGGTTTTACGCCGCGCGCGTGACTGCCGAGCAATCCGAAATTATTACCGTACATTGCGCATCACTATTACTATATTATTACTATACAGTGCTTCGCGTACGACTGACTGTTTGGTTTTCCTGGTACTCACCCCCCGTGCGTACCGGTTTATTGTCTGCTTGTTTTCCCTTTGCTTTTTGACCGCACCCTTTCTCGTAATACGACGATTTACTCGTACAATCAAATATAATACATAATGTTTCGAAACGTTAATCGTTATTCGAGTACAACTGCGTACGGTTCGACCTGTTTAACTTTTCTGACGATCGAGAACCACATCCTTCGGATATGTTGTGAATCGTACAGATATGCCTCGTATATCATAAAATATAATACGGGAAAACGTTACGGAGTAAAAGTATACGCGTTTTTATGTTCAATGCATTTAAAATTACTAATACATTAAAGTTCGCACACACGAATATTTGAATGTATAAATTAGTAGTAGCGTATTATCGGGTATTGATTGTACGCGGTTAAATGTTTTTTTTTTTTTTTTTGACGATGAACCAACATTATAGTATGTTCGTGTACATAATTGTTCTACTCTAATACTGCATTATATATTCAAAAATACACACATTTTTTATTGAAAAATAAATTTTATTTTATGACATTAAACTAAATATTAGCTAACAAGCTAAACAAAAGTTGTTGAACATGTTGGTTTAATATTTTATACATATTCTGTAAACTTTAAAGATATTTTAGATTTAATTAAATCTATGTACGAGTTGCACATGAGTAAGAAAATAATTTAATAAATTAATATTAAACGCACACGTAGCAATGTAATAGCATAATATATAAATATGTTAAACGTCATAATTTTGTAATTTCCTATTTCGTACGTTTTGTGAAAATTGAAAGCCGACTAGTAAGAAGATTAAATCACTTACTGAAATCTCTATAGGTATATGTGAATTTTTTATTTTAGAATTTAAAAATGATCAAAGATAAAATGTTTTGATTTTATATTAAAAAAAAAAAAAAAAAACCACAAAAGTATCAAAATGAAGTATTTTATATATATTTCTTTTTACTTTTAAAAGTTTTTTTTTTTATAGTGGACCATACTTTAAGTTTTATTTTATAACTTTTTATTTTATTTTTAATACCATGAAATACAGCAAAAAACATTTAGTATTTATCTGTATGTATTACCTAAATGTTAATCGTACGTTTTTATTTTATATTGAGGTACATATGTTAATGATCGGTATGATTAAAATGTATTCTTATTGAGAGTTTAAATTTCTAAATAAAATATTATAGTATTTTGTTGATGTGTAACTTTGCATTATACATATGAAATTGGCTCTGAAATTTTTTCTGGTTAATTTTTTTTACGCGTCATCATCCTGATTTTTAAAGAACTCATCATATTGGAATTTACTTCTAAATTTATTCAATTTCGATTTGCGTTACACATCAACAAAATACTATAATATTTTATTTAGAAATTTAAACTCTCAATAAGAATACATTTTAATCATACCGATCATTAACATATGTACCTCAATATAAATGTAATGTCTTATAGATAAATATTCAATGTAATATATTCACGTTTTCATATATCAAATAATTTTTTTTTTTTTTAATAAAAATATGCACAAATTAATTCAATAACCACGAGTTCATGACCCACACTGCAGTATTATGTTTATATTTGTGTGTTAAAATTGATAAGATTGATTCATTTTGTCCACAAAAACAATTGATAATGGTTATCTATACAATCTTTATTTCATATATATTAAAAAAGATTAACGTTGTGAGATAAAACTGTTCATTTGTATACTATTGAAAATAAGCATGCTTATATACTATTCCATTCTATATAACTAACATAGTTGCACATTATAAATTGTATAGATAATTGTCTATAATTGGGTGATGACGGTTAGAAATATTTAAAAAAAAAAAAAAAACACTCTCCACATGGACTTTTCCAATTGAGTGGACATTTACCCTCGTCGAGGGAAAGAGATTTTAAAAAAAAAAAATCAAAACAAAACAAAACAAAAACCGCCCTCGTAAAAGCGCGATGTTACCGGGCTTAATGTTCGGGCGGTGCGGTTATCCCCGGTGGAATTCGTGCATCAGAATTAATATTAGCCGATAGGGCAGAACAAATGTCGTGCCGACGATGCAGAGATGACGATAGGGGTTGGAAGGGAAACATCCCCAGGAAATTCTAACAGCTTGTGTACAGTATTAATAAACCAATCTCGGGGCGGCGGTTTAGATTGAAGGCGGTGGCTAGGAGGGGTGGTTCGGATTCAGGGTGGCACTCAATCAAAGCTATTAAAAGCTTTTTCTCGTTGACTGCGCCCGATGACGGTGCGGATGATGATGTCGGCGGCGACAACGGTGACGGTAACCCGGCTGGTAATGGTGGTAGTGGTGGTGGCGGCGGCGGTGGACACGGCAGTACAGCAGCGGTTAATAATGGTTACCAAGCGCGCCGCAGTCAAAGGGACGACGTAATAACGATGTATAACGGCTCAGCGGCGGCCGGTGCACAGGTCTCATCTCGTGCATGATCATCGCCGATGTCCACGGATACGAGATTGTGATAGTTTAACGATTTGTTACAATACAAATGTAAACACGCATACACTTATATGTATGCACAGCAGGGGCGGTTCCAGAGTTTTGGTTAGGAGGAGGGGGGTGTCACGTTATAACTTTACAAAATCTTATAACAAAGAGAAAACAACAATTTTTACAACACAAATTCAAGCAATTTTTAAAATTGGCAAAAATATCAATAATTTGATCTATTTGATCTAGAATATCTACTTTATGATCTACATTAATTAGATATAATGCTGATAGTCTATCCTCAGTCATCCTTGAACGAAACCAGGTTTTTAGTCTCTGAAGTGTGGAGAAACTTCTATCAACCGCCATACCACTATGGTTCTATCTACATAATATAACATTTTATTTGTGCGTGTTGTATGATTGTCCATATTATAATATTCATTTTTTATTAACAATATAGGTACATTTTTTTATAAATACGGTATGGGCTTGGGAGGGCCGCAGCACTTAAGGCCCCCTGGAGCTGTCCCTGATGCACAATAACCTACGTTGGTAACTTGTGATAAGAGTTGAAGTTACTTTAACCATCGAATCAGAAGCCCATCGCCCTATTACTATGGTGAGCAGTCTATTGTACTAGTAACTACCTATTATTTTAGTGCAAAAGTTGTTATCAATATAATTGATATAGTTGATATAATATTGAACATGTCGTAACGTCCTTGCATTTCCAAAATGGCTACCAATATTTAGCTTCGCTCGGATGCACGTGTATAGGAATAGGTCACTTGTCAATCAAGTTGTATTGCATATATATATCTATACGACGTACCGATGATTGCCTCGTCTGGATATAAGTATATATTAACAGTTCGTATTATAGTCGAAACTAATGGATGGGTGATCGACAAAAACAACATCACAATCGGGTTCAACTGGGTTTTTTGTTTACCATGAACGGTAATTAAACCGTATTTCATGAACATGACGTTTTTCTTTTTTTTTTTCAGTAGTTTTTTTCCGTATCGCGTTCCTCATTCTTCTTTATAATTTCACACGAATTACAGTACATTCCGACCCTGTAGTCCGTGCATGGCTTACAAATATGCATTAAACTCTATAATATACAATTTGGATTCGTTCACGACATTGAGTGCAGGAGATACAACGAAATAATAATAGTAAAAAAAAAAAAAAATAAATGGTTTTATCACGTACACAATCGTGTTTTACTTTCACCGAAAGTCTTTTATATGAGACGAAAACGAAGGTATAGCTGTCTGATGGGTGACGGGCGTCGGATTGTGGGGATTTGATGGTTTATAAATATCTATAATAAATATCTATATAGGAATACACATAAGATATGATTACAATAGGATAATATAGTACGGACATATTTAGATTTAGTTACACAGTCATACCGAAGTAAGAATTACATCGAATTTATACACTAAATGATAAGTATTCATCGAAATGGAATAAAGTTAAAAACCGATAAAGAATAACGTAAAAAAAATACTTTGTCCATTATCCAAGCCTATAGATAAATTTTATCATTGTTTCTTTAATATATATAAGTATATCACGCTTGAAAACTAAAATAAAAAATAAAAACACCTTCGTTAACGTCCAGAGACATAATTAATTTTGTATTGCGTATCAAACTAAAAATATTTAAGAAGTTACGGGACTGAATTTATATTTTTATTTATTATACTAAATTTTTTCTAAATAACTAGCGCTAACCTCGTGTATAAATGTTTAATCATGGTAGTGTATAAACGCAAACATATATATGGTTTATCAAAATATATTAAAATGCTTACAGATACGTAAACAATCTTATGTTATTTGAAAGTTTTGTTCAATATTTCCTAACATTTTGAAATTCTTCTGAGAAGTTTGGAAATGATGTGTTTAAAATACTTGCTATTTCCTATTTCTTTTCTAAATAGTTACCGTATAAAATGTTTATG